GCCACCATATAACGGTACCTCCCGATACTCGGTGTTTTGATGATTTTTGCCACATTTTTCCAAAGATTTGTCTAATAATTTGTATTTGTATTTCATATTGGATTCTAGCTCCGGTGGCAGAACATGGTATATATACGTCCACGGTTTGGTATAGCCCCCCCCCACATAATGATACCTCCCAATATCGGTGTTATGATGATTTTTGCCACAATTTTCCACGTATATGTCTTAAAATTCGTATTTGTAGTTCGTAATGGGTTCTAGCTCCGGCCTTACTGGTATTTGTAGTTTAAAGTCCGTCCGTCTATCCGTCTGTGGAAATCACTCTAGCCTCCGAACGAATTGAAGTAGATTGATAAAATTTTACTCAAATGTATGTTGACTGCAGAACTTTTGGTATTGATAATGGGTTTTGGTATAGCCCCCATATAACGGTACCCCCCGATATTCGGTATTTTGATGTCTCAAATTTGGTATTTGAAGTTCGCAATGGATACTACAGCTTAAGACAGAAAATTGTCTGTCCAAGTCCACGTCTTCGTATAGCCCCCATATAACGGTACCTCCCGATTTTCCGTATTTTGATGATTTTAGCGAATTTATTCACCGGAATTCTTTCAAACTTGGTATTTAAAGTTCGTAATAGATACTAAAGCCTAAAACAGGAAATGGGCCTTGTAGGTCCATGACTTCGTATTGCCCTTTATAACGGTACCTCCCGATATTTGGTATTATGATGATTTTAGCGACATTATTTACCGGAATTGTTTGAAATTACGCATTTGAAGTTCGTAATGGATACTACAGCCTATGACAGAAAATTGTCTGTGCAGGTCGTCGTCTTCGTATAACCCCCATGGTACCTCCCTATATATGGTATTTTAATGATTTCAGCTACATTATAAACAGATTTTTTTTTAAGTGTCGCTTTTGAATATTGTAATAGCTAATGACAAAAGTTGCCTATGCAGGTCCACGTCCTCGTATAGACCCTATTATACGGCTACATTCAGTATTTTTAAGATTTTAACAGAATTTTTAACGCCTTTTTTATTTATTTTATTTTATTTATTTATATTTTTTTTTTTTTTTTGAAAATTACCAAATTATTTCCAAATTTAAATTTAAATTTTAATTAATTTTAAATTTATTAATTTAAAATTTTATTTTTTTTTTTAATTTTCCAAGTCCCATCAATGATATAATACATAATATTCAACAGATATTAGGGTATAGCAACAAATGTAGTTAATTTGATTGGTTGACATTGCCGACATTTATAAAATTTCAACTTCGTCTGCAAAACCCACTGTCATTGCAACAGTAATCAGCTTACAGATGGCTTGCAGTTCAATATATGATACGAATATATGTTTGTAGGTATCCAGTTGACCACCACTTCCAATCGCAACAATTATACGGAAATGTTAAGCCGAAATGAAAAGTGTGGCAACAGAAAAAAAATATTTCAGAAAATATCGGATAACGTGTCTGTCGGTCATGGCGTGAGGTGTCAAAACTCTTTAAGACAATGCGATTAGCTGCACAAAAGAAACCAGAAACGTATCGAAATAAAAGAATAACAGTATCGATGTAAGAGATGTGATTAAATTAAATCGTTTAAAATGATCTGCGTGAAAATTCCAATGAAATGCGTTCTTTTGTTAAATATTTGTTTTACATATCCGAACGCTATTTTGAAGACTTCCATTTAAATTTATTATTTTTTGTGAATATCTTCAAATGTCGGCTGTGAAAAAAGTTATATGTGTTGTTAACTAAAATTTCAGGGAAAAAGAAGACGAAACGAATCTGCAATAATGATAATGTGTTTGTTTGTTCTAAAGTTTAATACCCTACACCACAATGCGTATTTAGTAGAGCTCCCGTAACCTTATTTGAATGCGTATCATGGCTTTAGAGTAGTCGCAACTCGGGAACTATATTCAACTCTAAATCGATTTTCAACAAATTTAACGGAGGCTTTTGTACCTCAAGTACCAAATAACATTGCTGAATAGTGCATGATATGACTTCGATAAGAATTATATTAAAAAATATTTATTTTAGCAATAGATATACCGGTCCGAGTTTCACTAAAGGGAAAAATTCGATTGAATATGAAAAAATCTATCCAATTTGGGTTGATATTACAAATATGTTAGACAATAACCGTAAAATCGGATAAAGATATATATCGAATATATATAAACCCTGAACCAATCTTGATAAAATGTGATAGAGGTATCTTCGAGCTGTAAATGATGTCCAGTACCAAGTATCCTTGTTGTGAAGTGCATATTACGCTTATGACGGACTTAAAACCCCAAAACGGATGAAACATATATATAGGAGCTATAGCTATATCTGAACTGATTTTCACCAAATTTGAATTACTTGTTTCGAGGACGAATTCTGTCGGAATTGCCAAGATTCAGTTAATTTGGGTTGATATTAGCCATTTGGTGCATAATAAGCCTAATATCGGATAAAGATATATATGGGAGCTATATCCAAATCTGATTCGATCTATAAAAAATTTGACAAAGATATTTCTGGGCTTTATCTGACATCTGGTACCAAAGATCATTGTTGTGGAGTGCATATTACGCATGCAAGGGACTTTAAACCTAAAAATCGGATGAACCACTATATGAGAGGTATAGCTATATCTGAACAGATTTTCAACAAATTTGAAGTATTTGTTTCTAGGATGAATTCAGTCGGATGTGCCACAATTCATTCAATTTAGACTAAAATTATCCATTTGTTGCACAATTAACCTGAACTGAACTGAACTTGACAAAATTTTAGAGACTTATTTCTGAGCTGTATCCGATATCTAGTACCAAAGATCATTCTTGTGGAGTGCATATTACGCATGTGATAGAATTAAAAAGCCCACATCGGATGTAACATATATATGAGAGCTATAGCTATATCTGAACCGATTTTCACCAAATTTTATGTACTTGCTTTTAGACTGAATTCAGTCGGATTTGTTACGATTTAGTTCATTTGGGCTGATATTAGCCATTTGGTGCACTATTAGGCCGAAAACGGTTGAAAATATGTGTGGGAGCTACATCTAAATGTTGACCGATTAACTCCAATTTCAATAGGGTTAGTCCTTGGGCTAAACAAACGATTTGTGAAAAATATCAACTCGATCAGGCAATAAATGCGACCTGTACTTTGTTTACAAAAATACATGGACAGACAGACGGACTGACATGCATAAATCGACTCAGAAAGTGATTCTATGCAGATCATCAAAAGAAACTATGTGTCTAACTCGCTTCCTTCTCTATGTTACGAACAAATGTACAAGGCACAATACCCTACCCACAGTGTGGTGTAGGGTATAAAAAATCCGTCGAAAAATATCGCACAAATGAAAATCTTTATATGGGGGCTATACGAAGACGTAGTGCTGCATAAGTAATTTTTTGCCATAGGCTGTAATAACCATTCCGAACTTCAAATACGAAATTTACAACAATTCCGATGAATAAAGTCGCTAATATCATCAATATACCGAATAAAGGGTGATACCATTGTATGGGGGCCATACAAAGACGTGGACCTCCATAGACAATTTTCCATCACAGGTTGAGGTACCCATTACGAACTTCAAATACGAAATTTATAACAATTCCGGTGAATAATGTCACTCAAATCATGGAAATTCCGAATATATGAGGGTACCGTTATATGGGTGCTATACTAAAACGTGGACCTACATATGTAGGCAATTGTCTTCCTGGGCGTAAAATATTCAAAAGGAACTCCTCGTGTGTATTTTCAGACAATTCCATTGAAAATGTTGGCTACAATTATCACAATACCGAATATCGGGGGGTACCATTGTATGGGGGCTATACGATATCATGGACCTATTCAGAAAATTCCCTTTCAGGGGGTTAAGTATTCGTAGAGAACTTCTTATAATGAATTTAAGACAATGTCATTGAAAAATGTGACTAACATCATCAAAATACCGAATTCCGGGAGGTACAGATATATGGGAGATATACGATATCGTGGACCTATGTAGACAATTCTCTTTCAGGGGGTGCAGTAGTCAGAAGGAACTCTTGTGTAGATTTTAAGTCAATTCCATCGAAAAACATGGCTAAAATCATCAAAAAACCGAATATCGGGAGGTACCGTTATATGGGGGATATACGATATAATGGATCTATATAGAAATTTCTTTTTCAGGGGGTAAAGTACTCACAGAAAACTCCTTATGTAGAATTTCAGACAATTCCATTTAAAAATGTGGTTAAAATCATCAAAATACCGAATGCCGGGAGGTACAGATATATGAGGGATATACGATATCGTAGACCAATATAGACAATTCTTTTTCGGGGGTTAAAGAAGTCAGGAAGAACTCCTTTGTAGAATTTCGCACAATTCCATTGAAATATGTGGTTAAAACCATTAAAATACCGAAGTTAGAGGAATACAATTGTATAGGGCCTATACGAAATCGTGACAATTCTTTTTCAGAGTGTTAAGTAGTCACGAAGAACTCCAAATGTGGCTAAAACCATCAAAATGCCGTATATCGGGAGGTACAGTTATATGGGGGCTATACGATATCGTGAAATTGACCTGCCTGCAGACAAAAGACAGATCGGTGGAAAATTTTACCTTCTTATCATTATTCGTTTTGACTCTGCCGTGATTACAACAGACGGACAGACGGGGCTAAATCGTCTTGGAATTTTACGCTGATCAAGAATATATACACTTGGTTGGGTCTAAAATTATTATTTTGATGAGTTACAAACGGAATGACGAACTTATATACCCTCCATACTATGCATGGTGGAGGACATACAAATAGGCATGTATAGCAGAAGACCACACCCATCCCTTAAATATTCTGAATTAAAAAATCCCAACAATTTTCATTTTAGTATAGCTAACGTAAATATATATTCCCCGCACTAATTACTTCCCTTCCTTCTTCAAATTTCTCATTTCAGATAGAGTAGCTGTGATAATTATTGGTATATTAACATTAATTTTAGGCATTCTCCTAACCACGATACCATGGTTAGATTATTTCATTTTAAAGGTAAGTGACCGCGTAATGGATAGCAATTATTTTTGTATTTAATTAAATATAATATATTTTTTACAGAATTTAAGGCTGTGGAATGATACGCTCAGTTATCATTATTGGCAGAGGCCGGGGGTGATACGTTTAACTAAAGTCTACATTTATAATGTCACAAATCCAGAGGGTTTTCTGAGTGGCGAAAAACCAAAGCTGCAAGAGGTTGGACCTTTTGTCTATAGGTGAGTGACAATATTTTTGTTGTACCCCAAAGTCCGAATGTAATTAAGTAAAGTCGTTGTTATTATCATTGTTCTTATTGTTGTTAGGAAAATAAATATTTAAAGAAAACAAACTTCGAAATAGGTTCTAGAAGTTCCCGCAATTAAATATTACCGCAACCGCAAACGAACTACAACGTTTATGATGTCACAAATTATCCGCTGACATCACAGCCAGTTTCGATTTGACATCAAGCATTTAAATGTTGCAATCGTTGTTTTTTTTTTTAATTATTGTTTATGAATTATTAAAAGAAAAGTGGTTATAAATAATTGTTTTCCAGTTGTTTTGATTTATGAGCTCGTCCATAAAATTGGCCGGTGTTGTATTCCACGTTGTTGGCAAATCATTGGAAATAGCCAATAAATTAAATGGAAGTACACCCCAACCAAAGTATTTTTTCCATTGTTGCACTTCGTAAATCTCAATTAGCCAAGCGGGGTAGTATTTAGGCCAATTAATTGCTAAATTACAAAGCGTTAAATGGATAAACAATGAAAAACAATACAGTTAGATGTAATGTGATATCTGGTTCGGAATAAGGGTGGAGGTAGGAAATTAGGGATTATTAATTAATTAAATATTTTGATTAATCTGCAGTCGAAATTTATAAAGGAAGTGGATAATAAACTACAGAATTTTTATACGTTATTGGGAAATTTTCTATCCAATGCAAAATATTTTAATAGAGAATTTAAGAATTCACATTGCATTTTAAATTAATTAATTGTTCCATTAGTAATTTGATAACATCCATTTGCAATTCTAATTATAATAAACTGATAAACGAAACTTTTGAACTTTCCATGCTATCGTAGAGGATATAAATTGCAAAATAACTATTTTCAATACCAAGTACTGAGTAACGTCGGAACAGGATGTGAGCGTGCCACAGCAAAGTCGAAGATTGTGGGTTGTGTGACTCGGCAAACGACTTTAGGCATCCTTTGTGTTAGTTAGTGAAAAAGTGGATTCAAAGTATTAAAAATACTTTTTTAAATTTATTGAATTTTAAGACAGCCAAAAGATTGGTGTTCGAACTTCACTTAAACTTAAATAAATTTTAATTATTTTCTAATTTTGTCTTACTTGCGAGTTAGAAGAATAATTCTCAGATACATTTTTCAAAGTTAACAAGTTAAAAAGCAGTAAGTTCGGCCGGGCCGAACTTTGAATACCCTCCACCATTTGGAATAAAGACCTTAAAAAATTCTGTTAAAATATTAAAAATACCGAAAATAGCTGTTATATTGGGGTCTATACGACTTGAACCTACACAGACCTTGTTTGTCATAAGCCATTACCATATTGAAATTCGAAACTTGAAATAAGTGGTGAATAATGTAGCTAAAGTCATCAAAACATCGTATATAGGGAGGTACCGTTATATCGGAGCTGTGCGAAGACCTGGACCAGCATAGACAATTTTCTGTCACAGGCTATAGCATCCATAACGAACTTCAAATACGACATCTCAAAAAATTTCAGTGGGTATTGTACCTACCGAATATAAGGAGGTACTGATATATGGGGCCTATACGAAGACCTGTACCTGCATTGACAATTTTCTGTCACAAACTGTAGTTTCCATTACGAACTCTAAATACCTAATTTATCATCAAAATACCGAATATCGGGAGGTACCGTTATATGGGGCTATACAAAGACCTGTACCTGCATTTTTTGTCACAAACTGTAGCTGTAGAGATCATCAAAATACCGAATATCGTGAGGTACCGCTACATGGGGGCTATACAAAGTTGTGGGCCTGCATACGAACTTTTTAGGTATAGACTGTAGTACCCATTAAAAACTTCGTATACGAAATTTGAAACAGTTCGGTTAAATGATGCAGATAAAATCATCAAAATACCGAACATAGGCAGGTACCATAATATGGGGGCTATACGAAGACGTAGGCCGATTCGTTCAATAATGGAGGGTATAAAACAATACAGAAAGGACAAAATTGGGCTATATTATACCACATACAGATCTCCATATTTTGCTGAACATTCACTCACACTCTATACCAGATTCAATACCGTTTGGTACTTTTCGTACACTATATAGTAAGAATTTCAAAAATATCCTCCTATATAAACGCTACATACTTACAGTGATCCATATGGCAATATTCCAACCTCTAACTACTTTCCTAAATAATATACCAAATTTAGTAGCATTTAGTACATTTCGTACACAATATTATAATATAAATAATTCTTTCTCACAGTTATTCTGATACCAAAATTCAAAATTCTAGCAAATTTACACAAATTTTGTAGCATAAACTTTCAGGCTTTAAGCTCTATAATTTTCCCTTTTACAAATTTAGTAGCATTAAGTACGCATTTCCAGAAAAATCTACATCTCTCCATCCTAGACACACATAGAGAACCAAAATTAGTGCCGTTTAGTACTTTTTTGCAAAACCACAACCAGATCTTAACACCAGATACCAACAGAGATATCAATATCAAATTTTATTCCTTCACCCAATACAAAACTTAGTACCACTTAGTACTTTTCGCACATAGTAACTATTTCCAAAACCAAAGCCAAATTTCAAACAAAGATAACATCAGTGATGTAAATATCAAATTTTCGAATGTTGTATAAATGCCTGTAAAACCGGATATGTATCATTTGATACGGTCAAAAACTATTTCAGAACATTTAGAGTCGATCTAGCGATGTCAGTCCGTCTGTCTGTCTGTCTGTCTGTCTGTCTGGCTGGTTCGCACGATAACTCTCAAAGGGAGTATCCGATTTGGTCCAAACTAGGTACATGGTAATATAAATGTCAAACTTAGATCGAGTTCGGAGATTGGCTATATCGGTCCACTCCTTCTGGTATCTCCCCCACAAATGGTCGAAATTCTCAAAAATAAATATTTTTTGCACAGAAAAAGAAACGATAATCCGATTTTGCTCCAACTTTTCAAATCCTAATATTTCCCTTAGTGCTAGGTTTGGTGCGAAAACGGACAATATCGGTTCACTCCTTCTCCTACCTCCCCCACAAAGGGTCAAAATTTAATACAATTGCAACTCTCGTAAAATGTGATGTAATAATCCGATTGTCTTCAAATTTCATACTTCCCAATATTTATATTAACCCAATATATGGTGCTAAGATGGAATACATCAGAACACTCCTTCTGGTACCTCCCCCACAAATGGTCGACATTTTCAAAAAAAAAAATATATATTTTTTGCACAGAAAGAGAAACGATAATACGATTTTGCTCCAACTTTGCAAATCCTAATATTTGCCTTAGTGCTAGGTCTGGTGTGAAAACGGACAATATCGGCCCCACTCCTTCTCCTACCTCCCCCATAAAGGGTCAAAATTTTAAATAATTGCAACTCTCGTAATATGTGGTGTAATAGTCCGATTGTCTTCAAATTTCACACATCCAAATGTTTATATTAACCCAAGGTCTGGTGTTAAGATGTAATATATCGGTCCACTTCTTCTGGTACCTCTCCCATTAAAGGTAGAAATTTTCAAAAAATACATATTTTTGCACATAAAGAAAAACGATAATCCGATTTTGCCCAACTTTGCATATCCTAATATTTGCGTCAGTGCTAAGTCTGGTGCGAAAATTGACAATATCGCTCCGCTCCTTCTGCTACCTCCCTTACAAACACTCAACATTTTGAATATCCATGAAGCTAATAAAAAAACATCCGACTCCATTCCAGATATGGTACATCTAAAATATTTCCATCAATACAAGATCTGTAATGAAGATGGTAGAGATCGGACCATTTCTTTTGCTACCTGCTCCACATAGGGTTCAAGATTTTGAAAAACAAATCGCTCAAAGGAATCGAAATAAGAATCCAACTCGCTTCAAATTTCACACATACAAAGATGCTATATATCTGCGAAGGCCTTCTTGTACCTCACCCACAAAGGGACAAAATTGTATAATCTGTCATAAATTGCGAAACAACTCAGTAATTCTTTACAACTTGCTAATCTAAATATATTTCTCTCAACCAGAATCTTGAGATGAATATGGATTTTAGGATTTCCCATAAATTGGATATAAATGTTCGATTTCTTATATATTCATAATAATATTTATATCATACTTATTTAGGTCCGATATTAAATGGACAATATTGAACCATTCTTTCAAAATCCTCTCCATAGAGGGTCAAGAGTTTGAAAATTCATAACAGAAGTCATTGGCTATGGGTATACTTCTGTCGGCAAAACCGACCGATACTTTTTTACTTGCTTTAAATTTTATTTGATACCTAATAAAATAAATATATTAATTTCCTATAAATTCTCTTGTCACCTTTCACTTCGTGCTCGTAAAAGTAAAAATCAAATTGCTGAGAATTTATTTCCTTACAAAGAATTACACAATTCTATAAATTTATCAATTTATTAATTATAAATAATTTATACAATAAACTATGCCGTTCCATTTGATTTTAATTTCCAAGTGTTTGCAATAAATTTAAATAACGGAATACAATTATTTTTTTTTTTAATTGCTAACTTTCTCTACGACATCGCTACAAATAATTGAATTATCATTTGTTAATACCATGTCATATTTTTGGTTTGGCGTCATAAAATTATTAATAGAATTAGGTAAATAGATTTCATTATTTAATTATATTAGCATTGAAATGTTCATTAATCTTCCAGTCGGATGTGACAAAGTTCGATTTCGAATGTACATTATACTTTAATCTTATGATATGAACAGACATACATACATACATATAAATACTTAGTTGATATTCAACCTCAAAAAGGGCTAAAGGTTAACCGGATATAAAGTCACACCATTTCAATGGCAATGTGGATAACTTCGAATGAATTTCGTAATAGATTACTTTAAAGAAGCAAATCTCTGTTAATAAAATAGTGAAGTAATTAACTGACTGACTTACTTAACGATTTATTAACGCCCAGACGAAAAGA